ATTGACTTTCCCAGTACAGAGACTTCTAGGTGGGTTCAGTTGCTTGCTCCCCAGAAAAGGTTTTTCATTCCATTATTAAATCTGGCCATTTTCAGAGCCTTGAGGAACAAAAACATTATTATGTCTTTTGAATAGACTAGGCTTGCATTTCTTTGTTCGTTCTCTCCTGTCTCCACTGCTAGACATTTCAGAAATTGTAACCTATATACTTGATATTTATGTTGTCTTTCTTTTGAATCCTCTATGTACAACTGGTTATAAATGACATTTCAATGTAATTTAAATGAGTTGCTTCATATTATATTGTTTAAACACCCAAGCCCATTACACCATTGTGTTGATGATGGTAGCTAATCTGTTCACTCTCGTTAAGGAAAGCCAGCTTTTGAACATATGTCTATTATAATCTTGCACAATACTTAATATTTTCACAAAATAAACATTTGACTTTTAAAACATATACGGCTCTGGTGCAGTGTCCTCCTTTTATATTGCCTACTCTCCCTCTATCTCTGTCTTCACTGCTCTTCTTGCTGCTTGGCCCAAAGAGGAGCTTGGTTTGACTTGGCCTTTTCCTCCCTATCCAATTTTCCCTTTCATGAAGAATATCAACACAGTCAAATAATCAAATTATAGAAATGAAAACAATATGCTATTTCAGCATCATATTTTAAGGAGCCTTATTTGTTATTTCAACATGAAATTAAATCAGTTTTGTGAGTTCCAGAGCAGCAACATCTAACACCGAGAAGTCAGTTTTTCATTTTCAGTTCCAGACATCGCTAACATGTCAGTTGCATAATGAATGTTGATTCAGCTACTGACAGAGTTAAATCAACTTTTGCTCAATGTTCCTTTGCTGTCTGAGTAGCTCGCTGGACTTAAATATTTTTCCATGAAAATACATGTTTTTCTCACAGTCATCTACAACTTAAACTGCTAAATTTGTAGCTTGATGGTCTCCTTTTCCATTGACTCCAGTGACTGACAGCCTGAACGGGCACAGGCACTGACTCCAACCTGGTAGTAGGATTCAGTTACAATATACAAATTGAAATTCAAGGGGTTTAAACAAAAAAAAAATTAGAATCACAGCACGTTGATCCGATTTGTAGCATAGTTACCTTGCAGTAAGAAGCTCTTGGGCTTGATTCCTGGCTCAGGGTCTTTATGCATGGAGTTGGCTTGTTCTCCCCATGCATGCATGGGCACTCCAGCTTCCTCCACAGTCCAAAAACATGGCTGTTAATTGGCGTCTCTAAATTGCCCTTAAGTCTGTGTGTGTGTGTGCATGGCTGTATGTCTCTGTGTTATCCTGCAAGTGACTGGTGACCTGTGCAGGGTAAACCCTGTTCAGGGTTTACTTTTGCCCTGGTGTTCATTTTTTTATTTTAATAAATGTAGTAGAAATTTTATAGCCTAGTAAACTAGGCCCACCCGCCAGTGGCCAAAATCATTTTTGCCTGCGAGTTGGTGTAGCATCATTTATTGCCCCAGGCCCTAAATTTGGCGGGCACATCACAATGCAGAGATGTGTTTTGAATGTCTGGATGCAAAGCGGGCGGGGTTTTGAGGGCGTGACAACAAAGCTGCGCGACGCTGGAGAAAGGAAAACAGTAGCATGCAATGCGGCAGCGGCAGCTTTCAAAGGAGCACTCCATTGAAAAATTAGAAGTTCTCTTTTCTGTTGTTTAATACAAGTGTGTGTGTGTGTGTGTGTGTGTATATATATATATATATATATATATATATATATATATATATATATATATATTACTTTAAAGCTTCACCATATGGTCCATTTACCGATTTAATGCATAATTAAAAACAATATTTCTCAAGTTGAGCGGACCGCGGCAACCGGCGGAGCTCCGAGGCTAATGGCAGCCAGGGCTAACCGCAGCCCATCTGCAGCGGCCCTCTCTCGGCATAGTCTTGTGTGAAGGACCACTGGCTCTGATGGCAATTTTTGACTCAGGAAGAGGCTCAACACTCATTCATCTTTGAGAAGGATGTTTTACCGACTGGCTGCTTGTTTACACTCCCCCAGACTAAATAACACCTTTCATCTCCTATTTAGTCTGGTTTATCAGCAGAGATGGCAAAAGTACTCACTTTCCGTACTTGAGTAAAAGTACAGATACTTGTGTTAAAAAATACTCTGGTAAAAGTGGAANTTTTTTATTTTAATAAATGTAGTAGAAATTTTATAGCCTAGTAAACTAGGCCCACCCGCCAGTGGCCAAAATCATTTTTGCCTGCGAGTTGGTCTAGTATCAATTATTGCCCCAGGCCCTGGCGGGCACATCACAATGCAGAGATGTGTTTTGAATGTCTGGATGCAAAGCGGGCGGGGTTTGGAGGGCGTGACAACAAAGCTGCGCGACGCTGGAGAAAGGAAAACAATAGCATGCACTGCGGCAGCGGCAGCTTTCAAAGGAGCACTCCATTGAAAAATTAGAAGTTCATTAGAAGTTGTTCAATACAAGTGTGAGTGTGTATATATATATATGGTTCTGTTGTTCTTTACTTTGCTCCTTGTTTTCTGGTTGTATTGGTTTAATTCCAGTTTTGTTGTAATTTCTAGATTTATGTTAGTTCTCATGTTTTGCTGTTGTCTATTGCCCTCTTGTGTGTGTCTGTGTGTGTGTGTGTGTGTGTGTGTGTGTGTGTTCCCTCCCTCGTTGTCTCCTCTCACACCTGCTCCTTGTCTGCTCGTTAGCCCTCCCTTTGTCTCTCTCTGCTATATATGCTCTCCCTCTGCTCTCACTCTTTGTTGGTTCCTTGTCTTTGCTGTCTTCCCACGCTGTGGTCTACGTTCTTCGTCTCTCCCTGGCTCCCTGTGTGTTGTTTCCCCAGATGTCTCCATAGTTCTGGTTTGCTTTATATTTTTTCATGTTGGATTTTGGATTGTTACCTGTGTTTATTTCATTAAAGCTGCAAGAAATCTCCTCAGCCTCTGCGCCTCTGCATTTGGTTCCTCAAACCACAACTAAACCCTGACAATATATATATTACTTTAAAGCGTCACTGTATGGTCCATTTACCGATTTAATGCATAATTAAAAATAATATTTCTGAAGTTGAGCGGACCGCGGCACCCGGAGGAGCTCCGAGGCTAATGGCAGCCAGGGCTAACCGCAACCCATCTGCAGAGGCCCTCTCTCGGCATAGTCTTGTGTGAAGGACCACTGGCTCTGATGGAAATTTTTGACTCAGGAAGAGGCTCTACACTCATTCATCTTTGAGAAGGATGTTTTACTGACAGGCTGCTTGTTTACACTCCCCCAGACTAAATAACACCTTTCATCTCTTATTTAGTCTGGTTTATCAGGCTAGAAATTTTAGGGGTTGAGACTCTAATGAACCAATCAGATTCCTGGAAAATGTTCCTGAGTTGGAAGCAGCAGGAATAAAAAAAAATGCCCTAGAAAACCACCTTGGTTCAAATGGTTCTTGCTGCTGAAACACCTTTTTAAGAATCTTTCCCCCACCAAGAGAATTGATGATGTTGAGATCAAATGTCAGTGATGTAATAGGAGAGATTCCCCTCTGACATCACACTCCTGGGCCGGTGCCTGTTAAACTTCCTGTTGCCAGTGGCCAATGACCACATAAGGCTGTACATGCCTGTTCTCAGCTGAAAGCTATGTTAAGTAATGACCAAATCCCTCCAAATAAGTCTGTGCTTGCTGGGCCGAGTCAGACTAACTCTCCTACGATTGAGAAGGGGCTGATCATAGTGAATGTCTTTTCCTGAAAGGAAACCAAGTTGAATACAGTGTTGTGAACCCACCTGCTCAAGCCGATGAGAGAGAGCTATCCAGCTCTGGTCGACCTACACCGGCGGAACAGCAGGGCCCAACTGGTGTTGGCAGAGGAGCCATAGAATCCTCTAACCTGTGCCATATTGGTCCTGCTGCTGCCTGAGCCGCTGCTGCCACCTGTCTGATCCGTGGCCACCAGCTAACTGCCATAGCTAAAAAGAGACATCCCATAAGGCTACTGTGAAAATTAAAATTAATCCCTGCAAAGTTGCCTCTTGTTATTGCATTGGATTAATCCAAATCTCTTTGAGATCTGCCTGTTTGATAAACAGACTGGATCATACAGATTGCACAGCCTGACCAAATCATGGGAAAAAAGTCCCCTGTGTTCCACCGGGCCAAAACAATCAAATCTATTCTTCCTTGTTTTTATCTGATGCTTAATTAGTGCTCTCCTTAGGTGAACGAGGTAGAATAGATAGTTGTGCATGTTTTTGTGTTCGGTCTGAAAAAAGCTTTCACCGGCAGAACAAATGTCAAATGTCTGGACCTGCAGTGAGTTTGAGTCTAGAGTTGATGCAATCAACATGACTCAAACTCACTGCGGGTCCAGACATTTGAATTGAGAAAGCTTCCTGGAGGGGAAGCGAAACGTCTTCAAATCTTGGAAACAAAGTCCAGTGGATTGTTTTTTAAACTTTTACGTAAAAGTTCAACAATGGTCTGTTTGACCTGGATTTAGCAGCTGGTTTGCTATAAGAAACAAAAAAAAAGTTTCCTTTAAATGATACTAAAGCTAAGAGGAAATGGTCTGGGTTCGGGTTTTGGGGGTTTCAAAGGGGGCTTACATGGTTGTCAGTCTCAGAGAGCACTAAAAACTGTTTCTCACTGAACAATGTATTGAAACCCAGACTCAGAGGCTGTCTCACTGTTGAGCACTTTATCCTTTTTATTAATTCAGTTTGATTCTATGACTGATCGCATCAAGACGTTTTCTGCATCATATTCACCTGTTTCTCAAAAGTCTTGTTAGATTAAAGAGATAATGTTTGCAAACAAATATATTACAAAAAAGGCTGATTTTATAAATGGTCTCAAACTTGCCAATGTCAGAGCTGCTAACTTCAGTTTCATTTGTTTGCTGTGGTAAGGACCACAAAGGAAACAGGAAGCACAAGTAATAAGTTCCTCTTCTGCTAAACACCAAACCTCAATGGAACTGTAGGGTAAAAGGCTAAAAGCAACCAATTCATACCCACCAACTCCAAAAGAGCTGATATCTGGCTGATGGAACATGGGGGAGAGCTGTGAATAGCTGACTAGATGCATAATCCCATCAATGAGGAAAAAGGGTCAGTCTTGCAATATTAAATGCATTGTACAGTGCTTATTATTGTTAGAGAGGTGTTTCTAGTTTTTAATTTTTTAAGGTTGAGTTTTGCATTCTGTTCTTTGTGCATTTTGATAAATGTTTCAATACCATACCATAGCAGAAAATTGCTGCAAGCTATAAAACTCACATTTAAAGGACAAGATCATCTTTTCTCCTTAGTTTGTTGTTTAAATATTGGATCCCTTTATGTCAAAAAATGTATCTTCCCTCAGTTACCTTCCTTCTGTCACGGGTGTTCTACATCTCTTATCAGCTCATTTGGTTTCTTTCATCACTGTCAGTGAATTTAAGCTCTTTGTTTCCAGTATAATTGTCGTCTTCCCTGTCTGTAGTCCATTTTCACTATATTCAAGTCCTGAGAGTTTTCTATTCTTATTATAAGAATCTTCCCATCCCAAGTTACTGTCTACTTTTTTTGTCCAACGAACAACCTACAAAACACCAGTGATCCAACAAGAAGAGGGCTAATACTTTCAAAAAGGATCTTAACCCTGCAAAAGCTTAAGATTTTAGATAAAAACAACCTTTACAGGCCAGCTGATTGCCTTCTCTTGTCCAGGGATAACTATTTGAAAAAGACTGCACATTCTGATAAAATGCCTTCCTGACAGAAACATGCATGAAAACTGCACTGCGACCACAGCAGCCTACAATGACTCAGTCACCACCCAAAACACGAGCACGATTCTTCAGTGTGATCAGCCTGGAAGGGTAGCCTACCCTCTCTTCATAGTGATCTACAGCATACTGTTTCTGGTGAGCTTTGCCTCTTCTACCTGCCTTTTAAGATCTAATCACATCCAGTCAAATCATCTCCAAACCAATGTTTCTGATGTTTTGATCTCCAGGTTGGCCTAATACTCAACAGCGTCATTTTGTGGTTTCACTGCTGCCGACCACAAAGAAATGTCTCCAGAAGCTTGATGATATTCTTGAAGAATCTGACAGCAGCTGATTTGCTGCTTTGTCTCAGCCTCCCACTGCGTATCATTCACTATGCAACCAGCTCTGTCACCATCCACCTGATTTACTGCAGTTTCGGAGCCTCCATGCTTTTTCTCAATATGTACGGCAGCATCTTCTTTATGGGATACATAGCTTTGAACAGGTACAGCAGCTTCTAAAATCACTCCGAGACCCATTTGACCCCCTACTTGATGCGAAAGTATTCAGATGATGAAGTTATAAAAGTAAACAGGAATATTTTTGACTGAAGGTTTTAGTTTCATCTCCTTTTCTCTCCAGGTATCTGAAGGTGGTCCATCCTTTAAGAACCTGCTTCCTGCTGACGGTACGTGCTGCATGCATAACATCCACCACCACCTGGCTCCTTCTCCTGGCCGCGATGATGGCATATTTCATCCCGCTACTGAAAACCAACCAGCGTGTGAAGTCCGCTGATTGCAGCTGCGAGGAACTGCACAGTCAGAGTGTCAAGTTGGTCTACAAAGCTGTCCACCTCTGTGCTTTAGTCACCTTCCTGTTGGTGTTCCTGTCAATGCTGTTCTCCTACTACAGTGCCTACCATAAGGTGCTGCAGGCTCAGCAGAGACAACCTTACTGCTCAAGCTCCAAGAAGCTTCTGAGATCTAGAAGGAAAATGTTAATGTTGATATGCATCTTTTGCATTTCCTTCATTCCTTATCACATCGTTCGACTTCCGGTTGCTTTTCAGCAGGAGAGCAACTTGGCCCAGTCATTTTACTACCCACTGCAGTTAACCACTATGGTGTCTGTTCTTAATGTCTGTCTGGACCCGCTTGTTTATTACATCTTCAGCAAAGATTTTCGGGACCATCTAAGGCTGAGGCTAAGGAATTCTAGAATCATCTCTCAGAAGGTGAATGAGAACAGGAGGAGAAGTGAACACCAGCAGAGGACAAAGGACATCAAAGAGGAGGTGTCCTTTAGCACAACTTCAAGATTAGGAGGGAATTTAGACTCAGAAAACTGATGCAAAAATCATAAAACTGTGCCGCATTTAGCCCTTTAATCATGATCCAAAGTAAAGATTCTTATATCATACTATATTTATATCATATTAAACGTTTCTTTACATTTGTTTTCTCTAAAAATTCTGTTTTTCATTCACATTGAATTCAAAGGAACTGCATTTTTCCTGTCCAGTTTCCAGTAATATCATTTGTAACAGTTATACCATAGCTCCATCTGAATATGGCTAATTGTAGCTCCTATCACCTTCCTCCCCATTTAATGGGTCAACAGTAAGAACACTATCAAGGTAGGAATGAACAGCCTTTAGCCTCATGGATGTCTTTATGGACATTGATGATACTGGTCAAATTAGAACTACAGCCTTCTGGAAAAGAACCAAAAAAATAGGTTGCATAAAAAAAGTTGCACAAATGTAGCAAAAGCTGTAAAATAAGATTCATAAAACCATGCACATGCTCTCCAGAATAACATGGCTAGCCAGAATAAAAATGTAGCACTCAAATTTATTTGATTATATAACAAATCAGGTATTTTTGATTTATGCCCAATTTTGAAGCCTGGTCTGCGTTGTTATTCCACGCCACAACGCAAGAGGGACAATAATGAACCAGCTGTGGGTCTAAATACGGCCAAGGCCAAGTTTGTGCGACAACGGAGGGATATGAGGGTGAAAAAGAGTGAGATCCAGGTGGAAAAAGGCTCCCAGAGTTCTCACGCACCTCGCTCTTCTAGCTGGTCCAAATTCACGAGTCGTTTTCCACAATAGCGGTCATACAAACAAAACAGGAAACAAACAGGTAATATGCATAGAGTAGAATGGATGTAGATTTGACCAATCAGAGGCCTCCTGTCTGCGGCACTGCCTGCGGTCACCTACAATTTTGGAGAGGTGCAGCAGAGTGCCTGTGGAGGGGGCGGGGACAAATCTGCGTTCACTGCAACACACGCAATTGACCTGGTTTCTGAGTATAAATCAGCCTTAAAGAGGAACATTCGACACCTCATGCCTACAAACCAACATTAGTTTGAGCCAATCATGGGGACAAATGAAACTTCTTATCTTGCTGTTCTTCTTTCAAAAATGAAATCAGAGATTTAGATCTGATAGCTGCAGCTACGTGTACCTCCTCCTGTGGTGCCATGTTTATTGCGTTTTTGTCACAGCTGTATGTCTCACGACCTGAAACCCTTATTCTGCATTGACACTTGCCCTCCCCTTCTGGGTCAGTGTCAAACAGAGAATTCTCATGTGTTTGTGAATGCACAAGTAAAGCAAAAATTCCATAAATGTTCACTGCAATGGACATTGTGGATATAAAAATGTGGATGTCAAATGAACCAGCTGACCGATGTTATCTGATGGGTAGCATTGGTAACCAAAGGGAAGAGAGAAAAAACACAAATTCACTAAGGCATAAATTCAGTTTGTTGAGTGAGCTGAAGTCAAACATTATCTTGTTGGCAGACAAAGTGTGTGTTAGATAACAGGAAGTGTGGAGTGGCACCATGTTCACACATCTAGATACAAAACTATTTACAAGACTTTGGTTGCCTCAGATCTTATCACAGTTTATGTGTTAATCTGTGGTACACAACTCTATGAGCTTTAAAAGGTTTTAAACCTAGTCTTGAAGGTCCTATAATGCTTGTTTAGTCCTTCCATAGCCAATTATAGAGAAACATGTATGATAAAATGTTAACCTTGGCTCTAGGAACTATTCGGATGTTATTAAATATTAGTTATCTTCCAACCTGGAGGAAAGAAGCTGTCTTTTAAACCAAAGCTGACATAAAAAAAAAAAAAATCTCTTACTGATGAAAAACACATTTTTCTTGCAAATTGATGATGATAAATAGTTGCTACCCTTGTGGAGATTAGCAGCCACTTTGTCTCAACTTTGAGCCATAAATGCCACTCACTGATCAGAGAAAGTGAATGTTTATTTACCATATAGAAACAGTGCGGTGAAGGTAGGTGATTCATGGAGGAGCTGAGTAAAGACAGCTCTACTTAGATCTGTTGTGGCCATTTGTTTTTCCAGGACAGGGAGGATCTGCTGCTCAGAGAGCAGAATTCATGAGGATCATGCAGACATGCATAAATCAAGTGAAATACATCTTATAGCATGATTTTGATAAAGGAATAGCATTGTAACCGTTAAAAGCTCAGAAAATTTGACTTTGCGCAGTAAAGGCCCCTTTAAACTAATGTGTCTGCCTTACGGATTGAAACATAGTTGGTTCCACAAGAGAGGAACCTGAAAACTCCCATTCTGTGAATAGAAATTCTAGGAACCTCTTGAAAACCTGCAGTGTGGAAGCAAAGTGTTCTGTTAGTAACATATGGAGCAATCCAATAGCCCGTATGATGGAGCTTGATTGTGATGAGAAAGAGATTTATACATGAAAAAGAGAATTTCTAATTCATTTCTGGGTTTGGTAGTGAGCCAGTGAAGAGAAGCCAAAATGTGAGAATCTTAAATAGTAGCGTTTTGGGTCAACTGAAGGCTTTTAACTACATTTTGTGGACTTCCTGTTAGTTAAAAATGACAATTGTCCACTGTATTCAGCATAACAGAAATTAGCTTCGCCTCGTCTGTTCCTGTTTGGCTGTGACACCATCCTGAAGAGAAATATCATCTGTGCAGCTGCCATCAACGCCTTTGTTTATAGATTTTGGAGATCGGCCTTTTTTTTTAGTGCAGTCCTGTTTCTCTGACTGTGACTGGCTGGATGCGCTCTCTTCATCCTCTGACATGGGAGTTGGCTCAAAGCTTGTCTTCCTGGCTGTGTGTTTCCTGGACAGGGCTGCCTTTTACAGTTGCTTTTTGTGTCTCTGCTTCTGTCTCCTTGAACCCAAGTCGGCCATGACAGATGGCCGCTCACACTGAGTCTGGTTCTGCTGGAGGTTTATTCCTGTTAAAAGGGAGTTTTTCCTCTCCACTGTCGCTTCAAGCATGTTTACTGTGAGGGATTTCCTTGGAGTCAATGAGTCGATGCAATCAGCTGGTTTTCCTTAGATAGAAAACTTTGAATCAGTTTAACTGTATGATCTGGTGAACTGTAAAGTGCCTTGAGATGAAATGTGTTGTGAATTGATGCTATATAAATAAAATGAATTGAACTGGATTAAATTAAACTCATTCCGTCCAATAACGCTGTGGAGGCTTTATCAATAACATTGTTGTACAACTTTGATGTATTTAATTGCCCACTTCAGTAGGTCTGGAAAATTGTATCTATTCATATAATATTCGGACCCTCATAAAATGTTTATGAACACAAGCCCTACTGACTGTGTTTTAGAACAACAGTGTGAATCAGCTATGGTCAAAGAGATGATTCTGCACACATATTGTATATATTCACAACTTCCATTCAAAGTATAAGACTTTATTAACAACAAATCCTTCAGCTCCAAGTTAAACTCATTTTAGTTAAAAACATTTGACTTAAACTAGAGAAACTCAACTAAATTAAACTGCTATGTACAAATAAGGAGTAAAATCAATCAATGATGCAATATCACAGTCTATTTGGATTTTATGTTTGAGAACCAAAGTTTATCTTGAAGAATTTGGGATGTGATCTAATTAGCTTGTAACCTTGAAACCTCTGAAGGTGAAGGTTGTAGAAACTTTAAGAGGAGAACAGCACTGTGGGGCAAAAGTGGACCATCTACCCACAGTGAACATTTTAAGATGAAACATGGACGTTGGTCTTCATTGTCCAAAATGATAATGGTTTAAGGCCCAGCAAGATGAACACACTTCCGTGGATCCCTACATTCAAGCGGTCTTAAGATTGACGGATGAAAAGTTGGCGTTTAAAAAGATTGGTTAAGTGTTAATGCTAAATCCATCAGAGTGATGTGTCAAGCATTTGTTCTTTAAAAACTGCCCTAGTTCACTTTCACAAAGAATCATTTACCTCGGCCACCTCTGGTACTGAAATGTTTTGGGAGTTTTTCCTTTATCAGTCAATTACAGTATGTTTTAGATGCATGATTCTCATTTAGCCTTAATTGAAAATTATGTTTATGTTTCCTTTTTTTTTTTATCAATAGTTGTTTATTGTTTCAATGAAATGAATCCTGTCTGAATGTAGCGCTTGAGAACCTGAAGTCTACATGATAGAGGAGAATGGATGAATATATATGTTCATACAATTTAGAGGGAATCTTATGGGATTCAGGAGCAGAGTGATGCTGCCCTCTAGTGAAACACCAGAACATATTACTAGATAATTTATTATCCACATGTGCGTCACACATTACTAAATATAAGTATTTGTACAACCTTTTTCCCTATTTTATAAAATTACAGCCACAAGTTTTCATTTTTGTCACACTGTCTTATTTGCTTTAGAAAGTCATGATTTCTTGTTTGTCTAATTCAATCCCATGGTTAAAGTTTGTTGTCTTAACATGAGTAACTATGAAAGTGGTCAAAATTTCTGAATAATTTTTGAAAATTTACTGGGAAAAAATATGAATTTCCTGGTGTCAAGTTAAGCAAATAGGGTTGTCTAATTTCTTGTAACATTGAAAAAAGTAAAACCTCAACATTAAATATTAAAAAGAGTTAGCATGTCTTGGAGTAAAGAAAAGATATATTCACCAAGGACTTTTTTTTGTATAATTGCACCTTTTAAAACGTCTTTTCTTGACGATGTCACTGTATAAATATTCAAAGCAACAAAGCTCTACGACTCATGTTAAAAAAATATCTACAATGGTTTTTGCAGTTTATATTGGTTCAAAAAACTGGATAAATGTATTTAAAAGCTCTAATTAATGATTATGATATTAATAACTATGATATTAGCTACTGATTGTAAATTTGTATAATATGTAATGCTTTGCAAAAAAAAAAAAAAAACAGAAAACTTCTCTGACCATAAAGAGGTCTGTTTTAATATATTTATCAATTCAGTTAATCATCTAGAGTAAGAAAGAGCCTTCTGGTACCACTATAAAGTACAAAATAAGACTCAAGTTTCCTTATTGGCAAAGCCTAGAAAATTATTCATTATGTTGCCAATATACAGTATTTTTACGCTTGGTGGATTTAGGCTAAGAACAATCTTTTAATTTGACAAATATGTTTCCTATACCTGTAAAGAATATTAATGAGAAACCCAGACGGTCTTAATTTGAGTCCATATTAAGAGCAAGGAGGCCTTTGAATTCTAAATATGTGATCGAAGGTCAAGAATAACAGTGAAAACAAGCTGAAAGTCCGTTGTTCGCTATGCCAATGCCAAAGAATGTCTGGAACACTGCATCTTTATCCATGATCTTCAAAAATGGTTTTCCCCTTCCTAAAAGATAAATTCCCACTAACACCCTTGACTTCAGCTCCTTTGGTGTGCACATTTATCTTTGTAAAATTGTGTGGAATAAAATCCTTTTTACCCCTTTTGCATGTTGGTCAAGAAAAAAAAACTTGAAAGATTACAGAAAATGCTAGTTGGCAAATGAGCTAATAATTGTTTTGCTGCAAAACAAGGTAACCCCAACTGCAAAACCCCAACTGGCACTGCAGTTATGAACCTTCCATTATTCATTATCTGTACCTGGTTGTCCTATGATAGTGGACAAAAATGATCCGACGGATCTCTGATAAACAAACTGCTTGCCATAGATTTTCCAGCTTTGTCTTGCCGGAGTTTCATATCAGTCGCACTCTGTCCTGCATATGCCCAATAATATTACACTTAGACAGATTTAATTTAGTCATTTTGTATACACAAGTGTAAACAAAAAGAAATTGTGTTAAGTACAGCTCTCTGGAGTATTTAATTTTTTTAAATGCAGCCTTGATAAGGTAAGCAGCAGTGATAAAAATACTGTGATGAAAAAGAAATAATGTAAACATATGACAGTTTGAACATTCAGGTTTGTTTTGTTTAGTTTTTTATATGATTTTTTAAAAAACTGAAAACCCCCCAAGAATTAATAGGACTGCAAAAAAAAAAAAAATAAATATATTCAGGCCAATTTACTCAAAAGACCTAAAAGTGCCAAAAGTGTAGGGTTTGGTGCAGTGATCTTTGTTTTTTATAGTTCTGTAATAAACCCCGTCTAGCTTTTTTTTATTTTTCCAATGTTTCTCTATGTGCTTCAGCCGGTAGAGTCAATGATCAAACAAAGACCTTATTTTATAAAATACAGAAATAAATAAAAGGTGGACTCATCTCAAACATTCTGACTGTCTGCAGGTGATAGTGAAAGAACCATTATCATCGTCACCAGTAATATTACATTTTAAAATACATGGATGAGTTATACTCTATGGAACCAACATCTCTGATGATTTCAGAGCCATTGCTTGGCTAAAGTGCATCAGTGCTTTTATTTTGAAATGTCTTATAGCTGGTTTCCTGTGAAGCTCAGCACACCTCATACCGGAACTGGAGCGACCTAAAACATAAAGAGAAAAATTTGAGGTTAAACTTTGAGAACAACAGGAAGGTCAGCTCAGATCGCATTGAGCTCTGACCACGCTCACTCACCTTGTTGTGACCTAACCCCTGACCCAGGACCAGCCCCACCAGAGAGTTCAGGAAGTTCAGTCCACAGAGGGCGGCCTGTAGGGCACTGGTGATTCCCATAATGCTGAACAGGACAACATTCCACTGAACCACTGAGTGGGGTGCCAGACAGACCCCCGACCACAGAGTTTGGTTGTACAGGTACCCTGAGTGTCTGCAGGGAAAAAGAAAGAGACCAGGTCAGGGACCCGATTGTAATATCTGAGTTGGTTCTTTGAAAGAGTATTTCTCACATGTCAGGGAGGGGCTGAAGGGGGACACCCCAGGTAAGACCAGAGGATGAGTTGTAGAGACACAGAGGACCCTGAGACAGACCTGTGGCGCTGACCAGAGAACAGCTGGAGGCAGCCAGCAGCCCCACACAGGAATAAAGAGCCTGACACAACATCTGGAAAACACACATATGTTAAACCATTATATGAGGAGTGTAAGGTTAAAAAAAGATGTGACTCGCTGCACCTTAACATTTCCAAACGCAAGTTGTCCAGATGATTCGTCCAAGAAATCCACGGAGACGTTTTTGCATTTTAAAAAAATTTTTGTGAGTAAATAGAATAAAGGTATGCCAAACATACAAACAAAATATATGGGCGACAGAGGTAAAAAAAAAACATTCG